TTATAAACTAGTCAGGGGGATCAGCAGGCATTGGGGGAGTCCCTGTTCCCCCGAGCACTGTCAGGAGTGACCAGGAACAATGGTCACAAGCTGGCAGAGGGAAGATTCAGATTAGACATCAGGAGGCGCAACTTCACGGTCAAGCCGGCTAGGATCTGGAACCAACTTCCAAGCAGAGTGGTGCTGGCTCCTACCCTGGGGGGCTTTAAGAGGGGGCTTGGTGAACACCTTGCCGGGGTCATTTGACCCCAGTACTCTTTCCTGCCATGGCAGGGGGTTGGACTTGATGATCTGCTGAAGTCCCTTCCTACCCTACTAACTATGAAACTATATTCGCTGAAAAATGGAAAAAAATGCAAATAACTCTTTTTCTTTCCTTTATATTGCTCACTTGAAGCAGTGAGCGAGTGAGAACTGGGTCATCAAAGTGGAGGTGTTTTTTTTAATTTTGAGGCAAGCTGTTGTAAGAAAGCACTGATGGCAAACTCCGAAGTCGGTGAAGACTCCCTCAGAGCGACTTGGGTTTGGCATGTGCTGTGTCAACTCCCGCCTCCACAGGTCTCGTACATTTTGAAAGAGGAATCGGGACTTGTGGGACAGGTGATAGCTTTTATTAGACCAAGTAGATTTTTGTAAAAAAAAAAAAAATAATTGTTAAATATTGTTTAATTTAAAAGTACATTTTGAATGCTTTTACTCTCCTACTATCTATGAAATGACCGCACAAATATGATAATTATTTATAATTATATTATCATTATGATCATTATAATTATAATTATGTTAATTATGATACTATCCTTGAAATGACTGTACAAACATGTTAATTATTGGTAATTATGGTAATTATCATACTGATCATTGTATTATCATTATGAGCAGTATGATCATTGTAATGATGAGAATTATGATACTATTTTTGAAATGACCACACAAATATGATAATTATTGATAATTATGATCGTATTATCATTATGATCATTATAGTCATAATAATTATGAGAATTATAATACTATCCTTGAAATGACCGCACAAATGTAACTATTGATAATTATGACAATGATCATTATGATAATTGAATTGCGATATTATCATTATGATCAGTATGATCATTAGAAGTATGAGAGTTATGATATTGTTCTTGAAATGACCGCACAAATATGATAATTATTGACAACCCCGGGGCGGGGAGGTCGCTGCATCTCCCACCATGGCGGCCCCGCCCCCCCGAACCCCGCCCACCGCGGAGAGGTAGCGCGTGACGTCAGGCATGGAGGGGACGGGGGAAACCGCGAGCCCGGCGGGCGAACTACATCTCCCAGCGGCCCCTGCGGCGCCGACCCGGAAGTGCGACGCGCTGCGGGCGCGCGATTCGGAAGCCGGTTGAGCCGTTCCACTGGTGGCGCCCCTCCCCCGGCCGGTCTGCGCGCCATGGCCCTGGCGTTGCCCGAGCCGCGCTGGCCGGAGCGGCTGTCGCCGCTGAAGGTGGGTGCCGGGACGGCCGGGGGCAGGGCGGCAGCAGGGAGGCGGCGGGAAACCCCTGGGCGCTGGGCCCGGCCCGGGCTCTCCGTGGCCCGCGCGCTGCAGGTGGGGGAGGGGCGGGGGAAGGGCTTTTTCAGAACATCCTCCACGGTGGAGACTGCCCGCCTCTGGGTTACCACCCTGCTAGCTTTCCACGATAGCCAAACTAAGCCTCCCTTGCTGCAACTTGAGATCATTGCTCCTAGTTCTGTCATCTGTCACCTCTGAGGACAGCCCAGCTCCATCCTCTTTCTACCCCCTGCAGGGAGTTGCAAGATGTCATTAAATCCCGCCCTCAGTCATTTCTGCACACTAAATAACCCCAGTTCCCTCCGCGTCTCCTCAGCAGTCGTGTGCCCCAGCCCCTGAACTGTTTTATAGCCCCTGGTCCCAAAGGACGACAGACAGACCTGCTGTTTCCATTGAACAGCTCCACGTAACCGGTTCATAGGCTCATGGACAGGGTTGGCAGAGGCCTTGCGAGGTCGCATCTCATCTGAGCCGTGCTCAAAGCAGGAGCAGCCCCAATTTCCATCTAACAGAGATGAGATCCCACCACCTGGCAGCTTCCTGGCAGCCCCCGACTGTTTGCAGTTGTGACAGATGCTGGGGGCGGTGGGCGACCGACCTGTTCAACTTCTTTTGCATCCCGCGAGGGGGCAGGGTTGAGGTCGGTGCATGCGATTAATTGCGTGTGTATGTGAATCAACTTATACGGAGAATACATTTGTGCAGATTGCTTCTCCCCCTCGTATCTTGGCTCCGCTGTATTTACAGTCTGTAGTTGATTTTGCTTGCATCTGCCCATGACGCGCTAGGGGCACGTGGTAGGGACACCTTGCCAGAATGGCTCCAATGATATAAGGAGACTGGAGCAGGCATATTGGGGCCAGAACAATGATACAGGTGCAGGGATGGATTTTTGTGTGGAAGTACAAATAGGTGTTGTCCTGAAGCAATGCTTTCAGTGGTGCTTTGGGTGACGCCAGTGGTAATTTGTTCTTGTTGCAGGCAGTGGACGACTTGCTGCGTTGTGGGATATGCTTCGAGTACTTCAATATTGCAATGATCATCCCACAATGTTCACACAACTGTGAGTAAAGGACGGTTTCATTTGAATGTGCATATATTATGCTAGCATTTAACTTCTGAATTTTGCCGCATGGTCAGATTGGTACCAGGGCAGAGGGGGCGGTCGGGCGGGCGGGCTTGCCTTCCTCCCGTAGCAGGGCTGTGGCCCATGACCTGGGATCTCTTGAGCATATACTGACAGCATTTCATAGAAGCACGTCCTTGGCTGCCCTGGTTCCCCTGCTTTATCTGTGACAGGTTAGGGGGCGAGGTCTGTGTTGTGTCATGGGTGATGGCACTCTTACGTAGAATTTAGATGATGGATTGTGTGGGATGGTTTGGATAGGGATGATCCTACCTCAGGCAGGGAGTTGGACTAGATGACCTTTGGGGGTCTGTTCCAGCCCTACTTCTCTGTGATTCTCTCCGACTTTTATTTCACCTCCTCATCTGTCTCACTACCTTCTTAGCCTCTCTCTGTATAAAGGAGAACACAGGTTACTTACTGCTGTACTCTGCCAGTTGTCCTAGGACTAACATTGCAGTGTGTGCTGGGTTGCATCAAATGCCTGCCACTAACCAAGTAGTTACAGTTTCCAGCCACTTGACATTGACCAGATACCAAATGTGATGTGACTGAATTGGGCCCGAAGCGTGTGGTTAATCATTATATACAGAGAATACATTTGTACAGATTGCTTCTCCCCCTCATTTACTCCATTGTGCTTAAAGTCTATAGTCAATTTTGCTTGCATTTGCCCATGACATGCTAGGGCAGGGGTGGGCAATTATTTCAGCTGGAGGGTTGCTTAACAACTTTTGGCAAGCTGTCAAGGGTTGCAAGGGTAGCCCTGCCCCTTGACAGGTGCCCCACCCCCTAATCCAGGGTTTCCCAACCTTTTTTGCCCCACAGCACACTTACTTAACTAAATAAAAAAGCACCATGGCACACCAGATGTGGAGCAGGGCTGGTGCACAGCCAGCCAGACGCTGACCTGGGGGTGGGAG